ATTATTCCTCGTGTTTTTGGTTTGTATTTTAAAAATGATATAGTTTACATGAAATATACATAATATACAGTTAATAAATACAATAGGTATATATATATATATATATATATATATATATATATATATATATATATATATACAGGGTGTCCCAGAAATGAGTGCAGATATTTTAAGAGGTGGTAGATCTGGTCAAAATAAACATATTTTCTCTTTACCATTTTTAAAATAAATTGAAAATAACTGAGTTATTTAACTTTGAAAATTTAAAAAAATAATCGCAACATTTTGAGAACCGCCGGCAGATATTGCCAACTACATCCAATTACCCGGATCAAGCCCAGATTTCAGTTAATTCGACGCACTGTGTTGCCATATGGACAAGAAAGTATATGTTTACAAGTAAGTCATAAAAATCACAACACCTGAGGAGTTTGCAGAGATGCATTACATTTTAGATTGTGATATTATTACATAAAATAAATTAAAAGTTAAATGTTTAAAAGTTAAATTAAAAAAACTTACCCAACATTAAAAAGATACTTATGACAGATCGATGTAACTGCGACAGTTCTCTTTTTCGATACACACTTAACTAAAATACACTTCATTGTGCTGCTTTACTTGTACGTGCTATTATAAAACTGCTAAAATAACAGTCCCCATTTTTAATTTAACACATTATTTTCGTATAGGCTTCATCACAATTTGAACCACTGATTTACAAAACACCTTGAAAAGCACACATTACACATTACTTTGAATATCTTTCTGAATGAATAAATGTTGAGAATTATTGTCTCTTACCGCCACTTTACGAACTACTTTCAATCTAAGAAAATACATGTTTCACTCAACAATTTTAAATGCGTATTTTGCTTTTTCGCTATTTTTTTCGATGTATTTCGACAATTCCGTCAACAGCCCAAACATCCGTCGGCCAAGACAGCCACGCATCACTGGTTGGTAACTGCCCAGTGCTTCTTTTGTCGCGCCGGCGTGTCGAGCTTGAGTCATGCGAGGTTGCCGTAGTTTCAACAATTTCAAATTCAAGACACTCGAAGCAATCAAATTCTTATTAAATTTTAAAAATAAAACAGAAAAACATGAAAGGAAATAAACAAAACAAAAATGAATTGATTATTGATAAGGTCACAAAAAAAAATTTCTAAATTGTTTATCGTAATTCAGAATTCAATATATCGAAAACAGCCCGACGAATAATCAATTCATTTTCGTTTTGTTTGTTTCCTTTCATGTTTCTCTGTTTTATTTTTAAAATTTAATACAAATTTGATTGCTTCGAATCTCTTGAATTTGAAATTGTTGTAACTACGGCAACGTTGCTTAACATCGTCGTCTGACGCAAGGCTGCCACGACGCAAGGCTGCCACGACGGCGCGGCTCAAAGGACCAGTTCACACGTGGCACTCTTGGCCAATACGCGACGGTCGGGCTGTCAAAATACATCGAAAAAATAGCGAAAAAACAAAATACGTATTTAAAATTGTTGAGTGAAACATGTCTTAAATTGAAAGTAGTTCGTAAAGTGGCGATAAGAGACGGTATTCAAAGTAATATGCGCTTTTCAAGGTGTTTTGTAAATCAGTGGTTCAAATAAAACAGAGAAACATGAAAGAAAACAAATATTGAATTCTAAATTACGATAAACATTTTAGGAATTTCTTTTTTGTGACCTGGTTGTGAATAATATGATGAATCATTTTCGTAAACGTCATAAACGTAATGTTTTAGTTAATTTTCGGTGGTTTTGTTAAGTTTTCATTGAAAGGGTAAGTACTAAAAATAATTAATGTTTTTTTTCTATAATAATTATTAATAATGAGCACTGATAAAATTTAACATTCTTAATTTTTGAGTAGAAATTTTTCTATGAATTTATAAATGTAGAACTATGTCGAATGTGGATAACATAGGAGGTTACAACACTGCAAGGCACTAAAAGTTTTTTCAAATTTCCCGGAAAATGTCAAGAAAAATTTTAAATTTTCAACATTTTTTTTCGCAAAAAACCTTATAGGCGTGTTTCTGGGGTTGAACTATACTACCAGTTAAAATATTTGCACTTATTTCTGGGACACCCTGTATGTGCTGGATAAAAAACACTTTCATTAAAAGGGTAAGCTCTAACTAAACATTAAAGGTTATAATTGTTTATTGAAACGATTGAAAATATTTCCTAATATGGCGAAAAAAGAAGCTAATTGTTAAGATTTATTTTTTCAGTTTACTCCACTGTAAAAAGTATTTAAAATATTGCGCGTTTCTCTACAATTAGTAGAGCAACCTACACTAATATGAATAAAATTAATTTTCGTATTTTTTTCTGTAGCAACTTAAAATAATTGAGTTTATAGATAAACATGCAGAATGTGGGTATGGTAGGAGGTGGCAACGTTGCATTCTCTCCGACACTCTCTATGCCCGGTAAACGAATTTCCCGGGGAGTGAACAGTGGCACTCAAAAGTTTTTCAACATTTTCGGAAAATGTCAGAAGAAAATATAAAATTTTCAACATTTTTTTCGCAAAAAAAAACCTCATAGGCGTGTTTCTAGGGTTGAACTATACTACCAGTTAAAATATCTGCACTCATTTCTGGGACACCCTGTATATATATATATATATATATATATATATATATATATATATATATATATATATATATATATATATATATATATATATATATACCTATTTATAGTAATAAATAACTTTGGCAAATAAACTATGAACCATACAAATGCAGCAAATGTTTTACAATATAGCTGAAATCGTACTCCATAGTCAATGTAGATAGTTTTAGCGTTGAGAATAATAATTTAAAAAAATATGTGGTCATCTTTTGACAAGTTTATATTAGTTTATTAATTGCATTAAACATTATGTGGTGTGTGGTGTGAATATTTTATATGTAATTTTTTGGATTATATTCGACACTATTTTTTTCTAATGACACAACACTGATGAAGGCTATAATGTTAGCTGAAACGTATTTTTTTAAACCAAATAAAAATAATGAAAACTTAATCAGCGTTTTTCCCGAACCTAAATCCCAAGAAAATCAAAAATTTTAGAACAATTTTACATATAAAATGATAGCGATCTTCATTTCATAACCATGGCTGACGCCTTTTTTTCGATGATATTGTATTATTTGCAAATATAATTTTTCGAACATTGATACTTGCAAAATATACATATAAATTTTGTGAATGCAAATAATAATACATCACTCTTAGTTAGTGATGTTGGTAGCGAATATTTCCAAACGAATTTTGCAGGAAATTTCGGAAATTTCTGAAATATTTGGTCCCAAAATCGCGAATATTCGCAAAAATCCGAATTTTGCAAAAAAATTTCTTTTCAAAATTCAAGACATTGAGCAAAAATTTAACGAAAGTGTATCAAGTATGTGTATTCTTAAAACAGAAGAAAAAGAATGCTTCTCTGCCTTACAAAATAGAAAACGTATGGCTCTTAAACCAATGCATTTTGCCGCGAACCTCTTGGACCCCTGTTTCCTGGGAGAGCACCTTAACAATGAAGAACACATAGCCGCTACAGAATTTATCAACAATATCACCAACAAACATCCTCAATTTGTCAATAATAAAGAAGCCATTTTTACAGATGTAACAAATTATTGCGCTAAATCGGGCTCTCGACTACGTTTGGATGTCAGTTAAAAATGTAGACTGTCTAAGTTGGTGGCAAGCAATGTGTAAAAATACTCAGTTGAAATATTTAGCTGTTGCTCTGCTGTCGTTACCAACGTCATCTGCAGCCATAGTTTGAATTTTATTGGTTTGACGGAACGATGAACGACAAACGGACGCCGATGCATATGAACTCGACTTAGATTTTTGAGGCTTATCAAAGTCTTGCCAAATTATAGGTTATAATTTTGTGTCAACTTATGTCAAATACCCTGCGTTTTAGAAGATGATTCATTTTGATTCGTGTTATTACATGTGTTTTGTGTCTTTTGAAGTCAAGTGGAGGAAAAATCGAGGGAAAATTAACTGTAGACCCAGAGCACAGTTTATAGTTAATACTCGGTGCCCAGGAAGAAAGTCTTATACACCAATAAAGTTACCATCAATAAATTTGTATACCATCTCGTCATAGATAAATGTATCTCGTATATGATACCTACAACGATCGTACTAAACATAGATATACTAAAAACTGGAGAAGCTGTAAATTAACATCACACGATAGGTAAATAATGGATTTTAGTACTGCAGAAAAATAATGTCAAAAGGTACTGGTTTAAAAAAAATTAAGGTTAAAGTTAATTAATCAACCATTAAGGTATAAAATTCGGTAAGTTTTATTATTAATAAAATAATTTGTTTTATTTATTCCTGTGGAATATTACAAATTTGTATTTGTATATAAAAGTTATATTGATAAATACCGTATGATCGAAAAAAAATGGCGTCCAGTTGGCTGGGAAATGACAATCGATGACATTTCCCATATAAATTTACATATAAAATGACAGCGACCTTCATTTCCCAGCCAACTGGACGCCGTTTTTTCTCGATCATACGGTATAATAATAAATGCGGAAAGAAATAGTTCTTTTTTTATATGTGGTGTTTGGTCCTTGTTTGTATTACATCAACACACCGGTTTTTTTAAATAAAATAACTCAATAAGATTTTTTCAGTTTTGTACAGTTTTTTTCACAATATTTTGAAGTAATCACTTTTCACTCAAATTTTAAATATATTAATTTCCTGCTTTGCGTTTCAATTGTGCCAACTTATTTCTTTGTAAAATAAAATAAACTACTTTGAAATTAAAATGACAGACACATCTATCACTGTCAAGGATCTTGTCGTTGGACAGACTATAGGTTTTGACTGAAGAGGTAAAATGGTTATGTATAGACGGGGCTTAAGAAATAATAAGATTATTCATTATTAAGATTTTCGATTATGGCGTAAAAACAAACTTAAAATGTGTACTTACTTGCAGTAACCTTCTTTTCCTAAAGTTAACCAACGGTCTCGTCCTGGCACACTGTTGACAGTCCGTCTTGTCATTTTCAGCCTTAATTCCCAATGCCCCGGGCAACTGCCCGACGTATCCGTTCACGGTTGACGTATTGTCACTTGCAGGTGAGGTTCTTTCGTGTTCTGTAATGTGAAAATAAACAGTATGTAGAAAGTTATTATTGTCATGAAAGTCTTTTGATCAGAGCATATTCAGATCATTCAGCAAAATATTCTTGATCACAGCATAACTCACTGCCAGAATTTCTTTTAAAATTTCAAAATATTTTCTCTTTCTTCTTTATATTCATTTTTGAATCCGTTTGCTTAATCCGCAAGCACATATCTGCTATTCCCGAAAAGCCATCTCACAACTATACACTTAGGAATTCGGAGCACGATCTTTATTTGCAGAGCTCAGAACTAGTTAAAGGCTCATACTGTATAATGCCAAAAAAAATGTACAATCATCTGCCTTTGAATGCCAAGTCACTTTCATTATTTCCCGTATTTCGCAAAGCTCTGAAATCATACTTACTGGAAAGCCATATATGCGGTAAACGACTTTTTTGTTGATGTTTAATAATGAACAATTTTGAATTTTAAAATTTTGATCATCTCACATACTGGTTAAAGGTCTAGCCATTTAATATTTAATATTTTATAACTCTTACATGATTATATCCATTTACAATTTTCCTATTGTAAAATTTTATTGATACGCCTTTTTTGTGTTCTTCATGTATGTTTTATTTGTAATAATTTTAAATGACGTAATTTTTTTTAATTGATTTGTATTTTATGATATTTTTGTGCTTTTTTTGTTTTGTAAATGCTTTGTCGATGAAGCTATTTTGACTTTTTGCACAATAAAGCGTTGTTTATTTATTTATTTATTCACTGCCAGCTAGCCATTTTGATAATTTCCATACAAGTTTTTGGAAATTCCGGATAAGTAAACTCTGAAATCAGGTCAAAATTCGGACAATGACAGTTGTCCCTGACTTGTTGGGGAGACGGACAGACATTACTTTAAAGGGGAAATTAAAGGCAATTGAAAAAGTATAATCTTTTGTCTTTGCGAACACTACTAAAAAAATTTGTACTGCATACGTTACAAATGACATCAATTGGATTATACTTTTTTAGTACAAAACATTTAGATCACTATACACTTTCGTTTTGGTATTATTATAATGCTTAATTTTATTGTTAAAATTAAATATTGCATTCCAAACCAATCTACCCGTTACATATACAGGGTGGTCCGAACTGTATTCCGGAAACTTCGGCAGCATATTGTGCAGATAAAAATAAGTAAAAAAGGAAAAAGTTCGTATAAATGTATGTCCTAAAATGCTTAGTTTCGAAAATACAGGGTGTAGAAGTTTCATTTCTATTTTGATATTTTCCAAATAATTTCTGAAGTAACGTTAATATTTGGATGAAAATTGGTGTCTGGGAGTTTTTGACATGAGAAATTTGGTTTTTGATATCAATATGTCTCCTATTTGTAGGGGGCGTCACCTACATGTGTTTTAACTATTTTGAATAGTAGTAACTTTTCGTCCGTACCTGTATAAGAATTCTGAGTGAAAAAATATATCGAAAAAAAAACGAAATATGAAATTTCTACACCCTGTATCTTCGAAACTAAACATTTTAGGACATACATTTATACGAACTTTTCTAATTATTTTTATCTGTAGAATATGCTGCCGAATATACTGTAGAAGTTTCCGGAATACAGTTCGGACCACCCTGTATAATTAGCATGAGCTATGTCAAAGAAGATTTCGACAGGTGACATTCAAAAAGTGACAGAAAATACAATTTACAAGTAAAAATACAAGTGAATTCAAATGACAGGCACAACTGTCACTGAAATGCATCGGTGAGAAGACTAAAGCCAGGGGCGGGAAAGTGAAATAGCAAAAGCGGTTCCACCGTTTCCACGGAAATTTCAAATAAAATAGTTCCAGCCTCAGGCGCTAGGTGGTAGTGCAATTAATTTTTAGGTTAAGAAGTTGCTACTAGTTATTGCCAGATGGCGTTAAATCAGAAATTTTTTTATAGTTTCCAACAGCCATTGTCATACTATTGTCAAATTCTCAAAAAATATTGTCGTTGTCATATGGTTGTCATAGCGCCAATCATAATATTATCAAATGATTATGAAAACGTTTTTCAAACTATAATTTGTTATATGTGTTTTAATTAGACATTTCCTTTTGTTTGTGGCCCTATATAATGTAAGTCTTTTATTTTTGCCATCATTTAAGTACCTATTTATATTTACTCCATTTACAAAACTTAGGGCGCATTACGTTGGTCTTGTTTTATTATAATAAACGATGTTTAAATATTTGACTTATAATTAAAAACTTTAAATAATAAATAATATTTCACATGTTTGGCTTTAATTTTATTTAATAATTGTATAAATTATACTGTTAAATCTTTTTTTTACACATCACAACGATACTTGTTATTAGTATTATTGAATTTGTGTAAAAAATAAGATTGAATAATCAAATTTAATTATTTTAGAGTAAAATGCAATAAATACGCTCATTTAAAAAGCCCGCGCTTCGGTCCATTTAAAACAGGCCCTACTCAATAGATGGCGCCACTTCTGTAGGGCCATTTTTCAGTATGGCAGAGTCCATTCTTTTTCTAGCTAGGTATATTCTTTGGTTATAACCGAATTTTTCAGGAACCGTGTTCCGTATTAAGAAAATTTTCAGGAAACTGATAGAAACGGAACATAAAACCATAACCAAGGTAAGCAACGGAATACACCTTTAATTGTATTTTTTTAGACATTGTGAATGATCGTAAACTAAAAAGTATAAAGTATAATTGAAACCACTAATTTATTCTACTAATTTCGAGGATCTGAATGAAGAGCTTTACGATTAAAATCTTCAACAAAGTTGTTTCTGCGGTTAGATTACCCGGACATTTTCTCAAATTCCGATAGTTTTTATGCAGAGTTCCGTGTAAATGATCGTAAGCCGACTGGCTGTCTAAAGAATAGGCTGTGACAATAATGAAACTAGGTCTTACCATGGAATTCTACGGGTTTCTGAGTGTTTTCTGGCAGCTCGGCCAGCTGGACTGGCCCCTTCTCGGCCCGGATTTGCTTGTGAATTTCCGTGTGCTGCCTGATGCGATATTCGAGATCGGAAATCTGAGACTGAAGCCACGTCCATCGCGAGGCGATGGCCGCTCGGTCCGTAGAATATTTCCACAGGGCACGTTTTTGTCTGCAACAAAGAAAAAACAATAATTATTATATTAAGATATCGTTATTTATACAGGGTGTCTCAGATTTTAATCGGGAAAATTTAATAGACGATAGAACTTGCAAAAATAAAACAAAAAGTTCATATCAACTTGTATGAATTAAAGCTTCCTTTTCGAGATACAGGGTGTTAAAGTTACTTAAAAAATAAAAAAAAAATAAGATATTTGAAAAACTATTTAATCGATTTTGATATAACTTGACCCGTTTATAATACTTACTATGGGACTTAATTTGATGTAATTAGATTTAAGTATAATGGCCAGGGGCGGCGGTGGGGCATCACTGTTAAACTATTTTAAAGGAAAAAATAGGCACGCCACTGCTTCTTTAGAAGTTTTTTAATATTATTTTTGGATTTAATAATTAAAAATATTATTTTTTTGTCTCCTGACTTTTTTGTCTATCTTGCTTACTTATTGCAAAAAAAATTAAATTCTAATTGGTAATTAATATTATAATTAGTATTCTAATGGTACCCTGTATCTCGAAAAGGAAGCTTTAAATCTTACAAGTTGATATGAACTTTTCGTTTTATTTTTTATATTATGATAATATAGAAATATGTTAGGTTTTTTAATAAACCATAAAAAATCTTTTTGCGAGCAAGTCGTTATACGCTAAAATCTACAGGGTCCGGCAAAACTTAGGAATTTTGTATAAGTGCAGACGTAAAGTATGTATTAGGATTAGGATGTATTTCAGGAAAATATTTTAGCTTCAACAGGGTGGCTCAAAAAAGTGTGAGTGGATCGGGATGAGTTTTAAATGGAGCACACTGTATATTATTGCATTTTTGTTGCCTTTGTGATCACTTTACATAATCCTAAAATATTATTAAATATGTTTTGATACTTTCAGAGAAAAAAAAATTTCGGCCTTTTTTAAAAAAATATTGGAGATACAAAAAATACACTAGGTATTTCCTATAGGTGGTCTGTACTTAACTTTGCTATAAATATAGTAATCTTAAACCATACAGGATGTTCTAAATTTTATGCCAAACTTTCTAAAATATAAAAAAATGTTTTTTTTTTAAATGGAACACCCTGTATATTAAGAATTCATATTAATAAAGAATTAAAAAACTGACATTTCTTCATGTGAAACACACGGTATATGCACATTATTTCGCAGAATTCTTTATTTGTATCAACATCGTACTACCCATGCATACAATTGGATTGCTTCAAAAGATTTCTGAGAAAAATCTAAAAAAAAAACACAAACAGAATCAAGCATTGAGTGATTCACAAGAATACTTTTATCATTTCTGCAAGTTACAGAAAAACCTAGATGTCGAAAATATTTGCTTTTAATTAGTATTTTTCCATTTGTAACACGATAACAGTATATGTACGTATATTAGATTTCTAAATATTTCTATATATATAAATCTCTATTAATCGATATGTGCATATTTACTTAAATAAAAGTATACCGGGTGCGTCTCAAAAGTGGCTCGCCCCATTTCTTATTTTTTCAGATAGAAAACGAGATTTATTATGTTAGTATAAAACCTAATTCAGGATTGACTGACGCATTTGATTGTTTTTGGTCACTTCCTGTTTCACCGGAAATTACTACAACTTTTGATTTTTAAATGGCACCCTCCGTATTTTTTTCTTTATTCGATTGAAAATGACACTCTGAATAGAATGACATGTCATATGTCAACTTTTGACATTCTAGAGTGCCATGGCTGTGTTAAAAACACTAATTTTTAATCAAGGGTCCTTGGAAACAGGGCCGGATCTACCTACGGGCTGTTTGGGCTGCAGCCCAGGGCCCCGAGGTTACAAGGGGCCCCCAGGCCCCGCGAAAAACAATAGACCCATAGGTGGGAACTGTTGAATCGTGAAATAAAATTAAAATTCAGGTTAAAAGTTTAAGCCAGACAAGATGGCCCCCCAGCCACTATGATGCTGTCAAAGCCTTAAAAAATAATTAAGTATGATGACATTATGAAAATTTTCAAAAGTTTCAGCGAAAATGAGGTTGAGAAAGTTGATTTCCGGAAAGAGGCACGAAATTTATTCAATAAAATGGCGAAACTCGAGACTGCAATTTTGATTATCTTTTGGGAAGAAGTTTTGGAGAGATTTCATTTAGTTAATAAAAAAAATACAGAGCCCTGGTTTAGACATTTGTGAAGGCAACAAGTTAATTGTTTCTTTAAAAGACTTTGTGAGCAACATACGACATCAATCAGATCAAATGTTACAGGAATACGACGAAAAAGCTAAAAAATTAAGTACTAGTGTAATAATAGACTACAATTACATAAACAAGAGACGCATTATCCCAAAATTTTCAGATAAAAGATTTAGACACGTTAAAAGTTGCGTTGGATAAGCTGATTATGGATTTAAATAAAAGGAGACCAGTCTATGAGACATATAGCAAAAAATTCAAATTTTTAATGGATTTGCAAAACAAAAATATCGAAAACATAGATTTGGAAATTGCACGTCATATTATTGATTACTATCCCGATGACGTAGACGAGCATTTAGTGAATGAGTGCATTCAATTAAAATCGTACTTACTCCAATCTATGTCTGAGTCTTACACCTCTTGCAGTGACATTTTTATGCTCATGTATGAAAATAAACTTATTAACGTGTTCCCTAACTGCTATACCATTTTAAAGATTTTTTAACATTGCCAATCACTAGCTGTGAAGCAGAACGCTCCTTCTCCAAGATGTCCTATGTAGAAAATAAATATAGGACAACAATGTCGAACCATCGACTAAATAATTTATCACTTCTTTCCATAAATTGTGATCTAACAAAAGACTTGGAATGTGATGACCAAATAACTGTCAATTTCTGTGACTACAACCTATCAATTTATTTTTCTAATTCATAATAAGTAATAAGTAAATAAATAAAATTGTTTTTTTTTTATATTCTTATAAAATATCACTATTTCAGCAATAAGGTCGCCTTTTGTACAACTAATACATGCGTAGTACTATCACAATTACCGAAGTCTACAGCAGAATAGGCAGAGAAAGAGAATTGCTCAATATAATAAAAATAAGAAAAACATCATACTTAGGGCATATATTGAGAAATGAAAAATACCACGTCTTACAATTGATAGTTAAGGGTAAGATTGAAGGAAAGAGAGGTCTCGGCAGGAAGAAACTATCTTGGTTGAGAAACATCAGAAACTGGACTCACCTAACTTTTGAAGAACTTATAAGGAAAGCCGAGAATCGTAAAGAAGAAGAATAATAAGATATCATTATAGAAACAGTTTTTTGATATGGCTATTAGTTGAGTACTTATGTAGGCCCCTAAGTAGTTTCAGCCCAGGGCCCCACAAATTCACGATCCGCCCCTGCTTGGAAAATGGATTTGATCGTCTAATGATTTTCGTGTCTTGTCCTGGTCGGTTAAAAGATGCCAAAATCGCATTTTTAATCATATCTCAATTTTTGAAAATGGAACGAGGGTGTCTCATTAGCATATCTGGAAAAATCATTTTTTTACGAATATTTTCATACCACACACTTTGTATTTCGAGTCAAAATGTCGTTATGAACCGCATGTTAAAATTTCAAATAAACCATATGCGAAAATGTCAAAAGTTGACATGTGATACGTCATTCTATTCTGAATGTAATGTTCTATCGAATAAAGCAAAAAAAAAAACGAGAATGCTATTTAAAAATCAAAAGTTGTAGTCATTTCCGGTGAAACAAGAAGGGACCAAAAGCAATTGAATACGTCAATCAATCCTAATTTATGTCATACACTAACATACCAAATCTCGTTTTTTTATCTAAAAAAAAATAAAAAAGTTATAGAGGTGAGCCATTTTTCAGACGCACCCGGTATAACAACAAAACTAAATAAAAGATAATATATAATAATATAATAAATACACTTTCTAACCGTGAATTCACGATATCAATTCTTGGAAATTTCTAATTCTGAATTTTTACAAAAAAGATTATGTATAATGTATACACACATAACTTGATTTTATAAATATAAACTAAAACTGTGTAGGAATTCTCGAATCTGACAAATTCTACCTTCGCCTTTGCCGATTTTAATCAAGGTCATTTCAGAAACGATTCGACACACAGGAAAAGAGGAAATTGATTGGAAAATATGCTCTCAAACGGTGTACGTTGTAACGCGATGTCAATTAAAAATTCGAAAATTAATCTTAACGCCTAAAACTGCTGCAATTTACTCAAACAAATTCAGCCGCAGGCAAAGAGTGCAATGTCTGTATTGAACATCTCAGGTCATTGAATTCGCAGTATGCAAACTAGTTAATAAAGAAGGCAAATGTGTGTTTTACTAATTTATGAAATTAAAACATATTTGCTCTCGGATTATCTCTAGACAGGTGGATTTAAATCAACGGATTGTAATCGGGAGATTAATATATTTAACAGAAATTGATATTTAAAATGTAATTCTAACTAGCTTGACAAAAACAATGTCTTCTCTCGGCCGAAATCAACAATCTCTCTGACATTCAACTGTTTCCAAAGCCTACTACTCCGCTACTCGCCAACATCAGCGGACACGGGGTGTAGGCACGGCGTGAAAATGACTGCCTATCATAAGGATCATAGGCGTCGATAACAGGATTTTTTTTTATTTTAATCATTGATTAAATGAAAAAAATCAACGTGTTTAAAAACATAAATCGAAAGATAACTGTAAAATTTAAAGCTACAAAAAAGTAGTCCTAATATTAAATACACCCTATATCTATTCATCAAATAAGTAAAAATTTACACTTGCTATTGTAACGTTTAAATACTTAAATAGATCGAAAAAACATATAAACGATGTTAAAACATATAACACATATCCCTAATATTTATTATATTAACCATTATATTAATAAAATTAATATTATTTTATAATATATATTAACCTTTGTTAAAATAATATTTTTTTCTCTTTATTACATTGCGCACAATTG